GCACATTGCTTGAATGTGACTTTGTACTGCATTGGCTTGTTGCCATACTTGCGGTGCGTGATGACTCGGTCCACTTCCTGATGTTCGTCCATAGAAGGCGGATCCTGTGATCGACGTCCGGGAAACTCGTCAACTGAAGGTGGCGTGTAGATGGCCAGCTTCGATGCGTGGAAGACCCGATGCACTGTAAGGTGCGGTGGAATGTTGATCACGAAGGAAGGACCTGCGGGGTCGTCTCCAATGACAGAAGTGACTTCCCATGGTCCGAACCATTTCGGAAGGAGTTTGCGCGAAACGTCCTGCTCGAGCGCAAATTCGTCGGAGAGGACCCAAACAAGGTCTCCCTCGCGGAAAGGACATGGAAGTCGACGTCGGTTAGCCTGCTGCTGCATGCGGATCTGAGCCTTTTGCATATTTGCGCGGGCTTTGATCAGCAAGTCCCGGTACTTCCGAACGGAAGCGGGAGAGCAAGGGACGTCTATGTCGGCAACCTGTGGCAGAAGGAGATCAGCGAAGATCCGTGCTTTCTCTCCACCATGATGTAGATCGAATGGTGTGACGCAGATCGTCGGGTGCACCGAAGTGTTATAGGCGAACTCGATGTCGGGAAGCCGGTCAACCCAATCTTTCTGGTCGGGACGAATGAGCGTACGCAACATCATCTGAGCGGCCTGGTGCGCTCGCTCCGTCTGGCCATCTGTCTGCGGGTGCCGAGCTGAGCTCGGCTTCATTGTCGTACCGGACTCAGCCATGAGGGAAGTCCAAAAGGTTGACATGAAGCGAGTATCTCGGTCGCTCACTGTCTTCCGGAACACCCTGGTTGGTAATCCAACCGGTGTGCAAGAGTCGTGCGAGCTCGGGTGCTGCACATGATACTTGCAAGGAAGGAAGCGAGCATACTTGCTCAAACGGTCAACGACCGTGAGAATACCGTCATGGCCGTGGCGATCACGGGGGAACGGGCCTGTCACGTCCATAGCAATGGAGAGGCGCGGTGCCCGAGGAATCGACAACGGTTTCAATTCGCCGAAGGGGACTCGAGATCGACCCTTGTTACGGTGGCAAACTGCACATGACTCCACGTACCTTGTGACATCATGAAGGACGTCGGGCCGGTGAAAACGCTGGCGGAGGCGTGCTAATGTGCGATTCACGCCAAGGTGTGCCGAAAGTCGTGTGTCGTGGAATTCACCGAGAAGACGAGTCCGTAAGATGCGATCTTGGGGCACAACTAACAAGTCCTTTCCTCTCGTGTGAAGGAGAAGGAACCCGTCGGAAATCCGATAGTGGCTAGTCGGCGGGTGATCCGATGAGAGATCTGCATATAGCGTAGAGTAAGTCGGATCGGACTTGTAGCCTTTGACGAAATGTGGCTGCAGATCGTCATCGAGGTCGAATGTCGTGGTCACAATGGCACAAAAGTCGGGCCGTCGTGAGAGGGCGTCCGCAGCTCGATTGGCGGGACTGGGAATGTGGCACGGGKCAAAATCGAACTGGTCGATGTAATACATCCATCGACCGATCGTGCTAGTGACCGTGTCCTGCGTTTTGTAAAAAGTCAACGGATTGTTGTCCGTATTCCATTTAAAACGCCGACGGCCGAGAAGAAAGTGGCGCCACCATTTGAGAACGGTGACGAACGCAAGTAGCTCTTTCTTCCTAGCGTCGTCGAGAGTGTTGACGAGAGGCACCTTTTGGGAGAAATACTCAACCGGATGCCAACCGTCCTCGTGACACT